AATATAAGACAAGCCAATCGCACAAGAACATGATCCGAACAAGAGGCCCACCTTATAATCTATGTAATAGTGAGTGATTTTGGCTGTTTTTCCATCAATATCCGTTTCCAACTGGAGTCGGGACTTGATAAACTGGTCAGACTTAAGGGTGTGTAAGTACTGGCGTAACTGCTTTCTTTCGAAGCGAAGTCGTTCGCAAAGGTCATCTTCCTTCATGATGGTGTTGCGCACTAGCATATCGACGATCAGTGAGTGCTCCCGTGCGTAGAAGCTGCGCACAATCGAGCGCACCAGCTTGCGCAAGCACAGAGGCACTTGAATGGAACCAGCCGCATCTGCAGTGCCACCGCCAGCCGACGAATTGGTACCACTGTTGTTGCCGGGAGCAGCCGAAGAGCCTGGACTAGCTACATCAGGAGCTGGACGCTTTGAACCAGCGACTAGGCTGCCCGAGCTGCCAGTAGCTGCGGCACTGCTGGGAAGTTTAACACTCGGACCACCGGGTGATGAGAGAGGTTTTTGGGTCGATTGCGTGCGAATCGAAATAGTCTGCATTCCTTAATGGACTGCAGTGCAGCCTACACAATTGGCGGAACAAGGAAATGGAGTAAATAAGATTTAAGGACATCCACTAAAAAGCCTCACTACAGACTAATAAGAAGTCACTTAAGCCAAAGGACGCGGTCAAAAGTTGAAAACAATTAACTTGTAAAAGAATAGATAGTATGTGCAGAGTATCGCAGATAAGAGAATCTTTGTTCCTGCCAAATAAAAAACAATGGGCCTAAAATCACTGCCATAAGCACATAACTTAGATTCATTGAGAGTAATTTACATATATAAATAAATTAAGACTTATGCTACATTAACGTAAATGTCAATGATTAAAGAATTGAGCAAAGCTGATCAAATAAAAACACAAACAAGAAAAACTTTTTGGTGAGACATAAAGCCTAGCATAGTATCTAGATGCCAAACAGATAAAAATAGATGAAAAGATGATTGAACTTTTAATTATTAAGGCAGTGATCCCCAAACTGTGCGCCGCGGCGCCCCAGGGAGCCGCGACCTCTTTACAGGGGGGCCGCGAAATATTGTAAAAGCTTCAATTTGAGAAAACGTGCAGTGATTCGC